CGCGTTTAGGAATTTTAGTATATATATTTAAATAATCATATCTCAGTGAAAATTTTATTAAATTTAATCGTTAAAACTTTTAATTATAACCAAAAGTTATAAAATTCATGTGTAAAAATTTTCAGTTGATTTAAGTTAGTAAAAAAAATTTGGCGGCGCCCGATATGTACAGCTTAATCGCAGCTTTCCCGACGGTGAATTTGCAAGTTTTGAGGTGTCATCGAAAACCGTCTCGTAAAGTACCTAAAAATCCGAATTGATCCAAATAAATGTGATAATTGTTCATTGCATATAATAGTGGACTTTTACTAAGAAAATCAGGAAAATCGGYGATGGGTCAAATTTTGCCTTATCCGTTCTTACGCGGACGGCCTCTTAAAACTTGTGCAGCAAGGTTGACCCGCATAACTGAGTAAGCATTGAAGTTCATATGCTCTGAATGTCCGAAGTACCAAAGAACATGAGAGGAAGCGCAAGCCATACCTTGCTCCCTATACATCAGTGGATGATAGAAGGTATGCTTAAGTTATGTAGAGTAGTTTTACTAGAGTGATTTTACTTGGGCCATGAAATGAAATTGTATAATACTAATATTAGCATCTAATAGCTAAAAAACTAAATTAAAATTAAAAAACAACAACAACAAAAGCAAACAATAGATTTGACGTTAGTATTCTTTCACTGGCAAAGTACAATCACTCCAAACCTGTGCAACAAAACAGAATCTAATACACCTTGCTTCTGAAACATCATCCAAAAAAGAAAAAAAGAAAATAGTTTGTTCTAAAAAGAATTAATTCAGCCAAACATGTCTTTTATGGTTTAATCCCTCCTTGAAGAGTTTATAATTATCATTTGAATCTACTGTTATTTAAGCATAGTTTTTTAAAATAAAATATTAATAATAATGCAAACTTTATGTTTTCCAAATTCCATCGTAAATCTCGCTACATATAGGCAATTTACGATTAGCTACTTGAATCTTTTACATTTAAGGTATTAGGATACGTTTATGACCACTATGCGCGCAGACTTAAATAAAGCGCTGGCTTTATAGTATAACACAAACAAAGTATATATTTTCTGAAAGCTGGGTAAACAAAGTTTATGAAGAAATCTTCAAAAAGACGATTTTTTAAATTCTTGTTCACATTATTGTCCTCGAAGCGAAAGTTGACCATGCCTCAGTGAAAACAACGTTAACGGACACGTACATTTTAAGCTATGTTTGCGAAAAATGGCTTAACATACTCAACAGATAAGAAGCTCAAAAAGGGTGTCTCAGATTTTTGATATCTGTTTTATATCTCGCTATTTTTAATCAAAGTTCGGCGATTGCTTTTGGAGTGTTGTTTAGAGTAAAAAGCGTCATAACTTTGGAAAGAAGTAAAATTTCAAAAATCGGAGAAACACTTTTTTGGATCATGAGTTACTTTATAAACGCTCCAAATTTTAGAAAAATCGAATGAAATCCAAGGGACTTTTTGTTTTTTCAAGTTGAGGTTCTAGCGGCAAATAAAGAAAAACGCATTTCTTTGTTTGGAGCCGGAAGCTGCAGGGAGCCACGATGGTGTTGGCCAAAACACCTTGAGCCTTCCATTTTGTCATCACTTGTCAAATTATCTGGTGTTCTGGACGATCGCAATGTAGGATCTTTTTACAAGGACAAAGGAACATTTGGACTCCACGTTATTGCAAGCATCACGCGAGTTGTTATTCAGGCCTTCGAATTCGTCTCACGCATACCAGATAAGTTTCAAAGGAATGTTAGTTCAAGAAAATATCAATATCTCGTAATTGATTAAAGTACTCTTGGTTGTTTAAATTGAGAAAACCTTTGTTGTATACAATGAACAGTAATGATGAACTGCGTAGAACTATTCTACGAGAAATGCAGCAGTTTGGGTAAGTAAATTGAAAACAGTTACAACTCAAATCACTCGGTGGCACTAGTATTTATTGGAGCCGTTTGTTACAGGGATTTTTATTTATGTTTAGATGTTTTGCGATGGCTGGGTTTTTATGTGCACATCTAGGTATGATGGTGATTCCTTTGTTGATGACCTGAAGAGAAGCACATCCAGTCGTCAAAAGAGAGGAAAACCACCACGTTTGAACCGATATTACCACTATTGTGTTTGGGCCCATGCTTTATTGGTAAGCGTTGACGATGTCTGACTACGATGTTAAAGAGTCTCTGTATTATTATTCAAACCAAATGTTGATATATATTCATGTAAACATCTAGCGAAAAAAGGTCGGTTCTCCAGAAGCAGAATATGGATTTCCTTCAAGTATATTGGCCTACATTCGTCATCTGGTTCCTGGGGATATCAAGGGGGAAATACGAGAGGTACAGTGTATGCCATAATTATGACTTTGATAACTACAACCCCAGTTTATGTTTTAAATATTTTTCACGGACTTGTAAATTTATATTGTTTTTTTTTCCTACTGATTTTAGCATGCATATACCGCATCTGTGAAGGAGTTTTGTGAAGCTATGGAGCTGCCAGAACCTTGATCCATTGCAGACTGCTGTGAAATTACTTTATTTCAAGATATTTAAATAACATTTGTTTAAAAATGTAATTTCACATATTCTTGTTCCTGTTTTTATAAATTATTGCGATTTTGAGCTGACAATACGGGTTTCTATTATTTAGTTCTGCAAAGAACGTGCGCGATACGGGGAAAGACCATGGCTGATATGAGACCGTATCAGCACTTCTCATCTGCTCGCGATCTGGTACGATAGAGTTTAGAGGAATTTTGAGCATTTCTTTGCAGAATTAAATGATAGACAGCTTATCATTATTAGTTTATCATCATGTAACAATATTATATAAATACTGTAAGCCTATATTTTACTGTATATTTTTCAATTTTGAGATTGTAACTATAGGGTAGTTGGTTAAAAAAGAAAACTCTATAGAGTATTAAAAAATTATGTTCATCTATTGCTAGTTCTTTATCATCTTTTGGATAACATGTTATTAATTATTTGAGTGTAAAAGTGATGAAATAACTTTAACAAAAATGGTATTTCAAAAAATCATAGCTTTTTGAGCTTTGTCTAAATTAAATGAGTTCACTTCCTTCTTTACTTCCTTTTTTTGTTTCCTTTGCAGTGCTTCCTTTCTTCCATTTCTTTGCCATCTATCCTTTCTCAATTTTCTTTCCTCCCTTTGCCATCTCTCCTTTCTTTGCAGTTTTTCCTTTCTTTTCTTTCTTCCCTTTCTTTGCCGTCTGTCCTTTCTTACTTTCCTTTCCTCCCTTTGCCATCTTTCCTTTCTTTGCAGTTTTTCCTTTCTTTGCAGTTTTTCCTTTCTTTCCTTTCTTCCCTTTCTTTGTACAACCACCACTATGGAATGCTTAGGATTTGTAGGTTATGCCTTCAGCATGGACAAAGGCATCCTGTTTCTTGCCGTTATTCTTTTTTTTCTTCTTCCGTCTGAGCTTAGTCGAGTCAGAATTGTGGTATTCTGCCATGTACAATCTGTTATCACCAATCTTCTGCCATGAAACTGACATACAGGGTTTCAATCTTATACCCAGAGATGGCAGAAGTTTGGAGAATGTATAGTCTCCCTCGCATCCGTTTTTAGTGTCGGTCGTCACGCAACGCTCCCTCCCCACAAACGGCTGCTTGCATTCGAACTACATTCCTTTCTCATTGTTTGGCCAATCACAAGACGGGTTACATATTTAGAGAACCGTTCCCGGACTTTTGATCTGACCAATCACCGTGCAGCTTTTATTTGGCATTCTCAACTCGTTCACAGAAGAAGTGTACATGCATGTTTGGCCTCGCGTCTTCAAAGTCCGGTATTCCTGATCGAAATGCGCATCAGAAGTCGGCTATCAAAACTTAAGTCGAAGAGAAAAAAAAATTGTTGTCAATCTTCCAACAGAGTTTGGCAAATCTCTAATTTACCAAGCTCTGACTCTCGTATTTGACTACAAATATACACTAGAGTCTGGTCACATCGTGGTTGTTGTGTCTCCTTTAATTGAGACCTATAGATTCGACGACGAGTACGAGAACGAATCCGAGTTAAAACTTTTAAAGATTGGCACTATCTCTTTGTAGTCTTGATCGTGATCGTAAAAAATCGGAAATCGACTACGATTTAGCGTTACTCGTACTCGTATTCTTCGTCGTATCTAAAGGTCGCTAATACGTCTAATGGATGACCAAGTCTCAAAGTTACGTAGTTTAGGAGTTAGTGTTGTGAAGATAAGCTCACTAGAAGAGGAAGAACGGTGTGAAGTCGAAAACGGCGAATATTCCGCACCGATTTCTTTCGAGGATGTTCTTCGGCAGCTCGATTGAAACTCAGCATGTTTATACTTTCGGACACTGTGATTGGCTCAATAGGAAACAATACGCTCGACCTCATTGGTACGATCCAAACAATGAGAAAGGAATGTAGTTCGAATGCAAGCAGCCGTTTGTGGGGAGGGAGCGTTGCGTGACGACCGACACTAAAAACGGATGCGAGGGAGACTAGAGAATGTATGGCTGAAACCTCGGTTAAACAGCAACACACCCATGCTAATGGCAATACTTATCTCAGATGTAGAATTTGCCATATCTTTAGGGGCCATATTCCAAATGACATGATGAAGCGATTCATTTGCATTCTGCGTCATGCAGTTTGCACAGTTTGCTAGAAAACTTTCATTACCCAGACGATCGAAAATGGGCTGCATTATCTCTCTTATGGCAGGTGTGAAAGGGTCCTTTATGGGCTTGTGGACCTTAGTGCTTCTAGCTAAGTCCACTTGATAACTACACCAAGAATCGGCTCCTGTTGGGCAGTTATCATGTTGAGGGTTCTCAGTTGTACTACTGTACTACTGCTTTGGCCATTTTCTTTGCATCTCCTTTGTTACGTCTGGTTGCCAGTCCATAGAAGTCTTGAATTTTGTCAATTCGTTTTACAGTCAGACTTCCTTTACCGGTTAGCCCTTTTCCATCCCTCAATTTTCGACCTAAAATATAATGTAGACAGCCTAAAATAGACAGCTGTATAATGCTTGCTTGATTGTTCTACATTTTTTTTACAAAAAGGGATCAAGATGCAAGGGAATGAAAACCAATTAATAAAGGGAAAAATTACAATTTGATAGGTCCAAACATTTTCAAATGTTTATCAAATAGACTTCAAATTACGCATATAAATGTAGTTTATGCCTTTCAATTCGGGTGAATCTGTAATCATTTTATTTACCTTTGCATTCTTTCGTCAAAGCTCTCAAGGCCGTACCCATCCTCTTAGTGACATGAGAAACACATTCCTCTTTAGGAATGAAAACTGCAGGGTCATAAGGATGAGCTTGGCAGACTTCACTATAGGCCTTGCTGTCTCCATCCCCAATAAATGGAATGTATCGCAAATTCTTTTCCACTGATCTTTGATATAGTTCAACTGCACCTGCTGCCTCCATCGCCTATTGAAGAACATGTGATTTTTAATTTACTTGTAACCGACATTTCTTAAAAGCCTGCCAATCACTTTGTACTTTATTTCATGTTTTGGATTTCCAAATACATTCGTTTTCAAACTCTCACCAGTACTCCACCCCAACTCCCATATAATGTACTAGCCTTCATTCAGACTTTTTTATTCTTTACTTATTTTCTTGTACGTATAAAAATATAAGATATCAAACTACGAAATAGGAATTAATACTAAAYKGAAAATTTGATATATTTCTTCAACAATTAATTCACAGCGTAATAGTGGTACAAACCGCAATCATTTTAAATTTTAGCCATTTTCAATCGAAGCTCTTTAGAATGAATATTTCTTAAGGACAATATTCTACTTTTTCCTCTTCATTATTTATTTTTATTTTTATAGACATCGTTCTTGCAATGAGGTGTATTAAAGTTTATGTCAACTTACCGAAGAACTTCCCTCGTGATTTAGCATACACTTTGGTTCGTGTTCCAAGAACCACGATAGATAGTTCATCTTGTCAACTTCTCCCTTTTCTCTCGGTGCATCCATTTTCTTGCACTCGCTACAAGAACTGGTCTTGTGCACAACGTCCACAACTTTTCCAGTGTCGGTGGATATTACTCCCACACAGGCGTCTGTAGCCGACCATCCCCTAGTACACCCAGAGTCATCGAGGCTTACTCCCACGTCTACAGTACTGTCGTTCTTAGCATTATGGACGTCTCTCAGCTCAAGAGCGGATTGTTGAAGCTCCTCACCAAGTATTTCTTTACATTTTTCTTGAATGACTTTAGAATGTTCAGACCACCTTGAATGGTTAGGAGGCTGAGGAAGGCCCATAATACTACAAAACTTTTGAGCCGCACTATGGCCACGACCAATTGACCTCACTGCTAATACAACCGATCTATTTACTTCAAAGTGACCAGATTTAGGTGACGTAGGGAAAGTTTTCGTTAGTGATCGTCCTTCACATTCGCTGTTTCTGCACTGAATCATCCACACAGCTCCTAAACCATGTTTCGTTGTTATATCTTCGAGGACTTCTATTTCGTCCCCACAAAAATTGCATGTCGCCGAAAGTTCCAAACCGCTTTGAAGTGAATGGCCGTCGACGATCGCCAAACCAGGTCTTGTTAACGTGTTGTTAACAACAGAAAAATAATTTGTTTTCTGTTCATCTTCTTTAGTTCTTCCAAGTTTTTTGGCGCTTGAGGATGAGCCTAAACTGGGTGATTTCTCAAAATCCTCTGGCCAACTAGCCGGTTGATCATAGTATGACCCAAGATCGCTTCTCGCCAAAGCAGTCTTTCGATCGGCGGGAAACTCATCTGCTGATTTCCTTCTTTTCTTACGCTTCGAATAAGAAACGGTACTAGCCATGAAATTTCTTTTCCTTGTAGGCATATCTCAAAATTATAAGTATAAACTCTCGTTGTCTCTTGTCTCGTTGTCTCTCGTTGTTCTCTTGTCTCAAACAAACACCACATCAGTTTGTGACAGCGGATTTGTCACGCACCATCGGATCAAAATAACCGCGTGTTACGTAGAAGATGACAGATTAGCATATATTAAGCGACGGGGTATTTCCGATCTTGATAAAGTCACGATTTCGATTTTTCTCAAAATTTTGGCTTTTCCAATCAAAAATTGCAAGAAGTTTCACAAACATATGAAAGACAAAAGTTTAAAGTTACGAAATTAAAAAAAAAAATTTTTTTCGAGCAAATCGTCATTTTTCGTATCCTAATATCTTAAGTAAATTTTTGAGGGACATAATTATCTACATAGACTGTATGAACTTTAACAATTTTCAACAATAAAAGATTAAAGTGTTTTGCATAATTAGTTAAGTCTATCTTGTTCCTCGTGTAACAGCTTCTCATAATTTCCTTACGAAGGGCCTTGATCTTTGCTTGCTTTGCCTTAACTTTATGATGTTGTGTGACATCCTTTGCAAATGAAAATGATCGGAATCTTGCATATAAGTTAACAATACTATAGAAGACATCTTCGTTAACATAACTGTTAGTAACTAGTTCGGCATCTGAAACCATGGATTGGTAGCTTGATATCACCTCACTGTCGTTAAGTGCATTTTTGGTTATCCCCAACATGTCTATCTTGTGTAAACTAGAGATAAAAGTGAACTGTCTAAAATAATGTTCTGTATAAAAAAATATATTTTGTGCTGGCTGAATTATGCATCATAGACCTCCACGGGTTAAACTTGACACCAACTTTTGAGATCCAAAATCTTCCTCCATTTTTCCAACTTTTAACATAGCCATTGCCTGTTGGTTTTCAGGTATAAATTTCTTTGCATGATTTTAGTGGAGCTTATGCAATACATAACCTCCAGCATACTGTAGATCTGCATTCTCTTTCTCTGATAGTTCCCTCAGTTTTTAACTGTTGGTCCTTTTGGCTCTTGTCAGTGGACTTCAAGTGATTGACAACATGCTATCAGCTACTTTATTTGCAAGAAGTGTGGCAGCTTTATGAGATAGTCCAGGAAAAAAGCTGGTTGATTTTAATGGTACTTGAGCGTAACAGTTGCCATAAAATTTCTCAATATTTCCATTCCTCGAATAACTTTCGTAGAGAGTCCATCACTGTGAATTCTGGTGTTCCTTCTTCAAGTTGTTTGTGTTGTTAAAGAGCCAACTCCTTTCTTGGACTGGCTGCAAGGACTTCGTTTCCTTTAACACTTTATATTACATTAAGCACTATCTCAGTAAGAATGATTGGCATGAAAATTTGCTGCCTTAGATTCGGGCTCTGATCAGAGTTGGCACTGTTCTGATTTTGTGTGTGTTTAGCATTTCGGTGTCATTTATAGCCTCCTTTAGACTTGCACTTTTTACCACACTCGCTGCAAATAATATCTGTCGATTGCACCTACGGGAAAGAGAGAGAAAAAATACAACGGAAATACTAAATAGCGAATAGTTCTCGTCTACATACATGCAGATAAGCTTACTACTACCGGGTGGAGGACGAAGAATTTTAAAATCCTGAAAATTGTGATTACGCTTTGATACAGGCAGATACACGTCAAAATTCAACAGTATTCTACTTACACCGCTAGCTACAGCAGTAAATTGCTTCTCCAATGCTTCAAATTCTTCTAATATGTCTAAAATCGCCTCAAAATCGTCGCCAAACACAAATAAATTGTACACTGTATTCGCCATCTTGGAAAATTTGTCTTGTTTTTGCACAGTCAGTGTCACGTGACCGGTACGTTCAGCAACAGAAGCCAAACAATAGGCCAGCCGGGTCTCCAAACCAGTCCCCTCTATTAACTGTGATCCGAACGAAGAACAGCGATTTTAACTCCCCATCCAGGATGAGAACAATCCTGAAGAGAGGCTTCTGAGCCCGTACATGTCATGTCGTCCAGCCACACTGGTCCCTCTCCATGTCCATCGTACCCGTAACTTACAGCAGTGGCAAAACCAAGTTGTCGACAGGCAACCTTAGCATCATTTATATCCCAGTAATCATGGCACACTGTTCCCCATTGACCTTTGTAGTAGACTTGTATGACACCAATAACATGGCCTCTAGTATCTGACTTCGTACTGTACTATGAAACTTTGTATTGTGCTCCACATGACAATAATGTTCTACGTTATCCACAAATCTACTTAGCTAATCCAACTTTGACGAAGCCAATGTGTCAATGTACAACGTTGGTATTATTGAAGTTACAATAATAAGCTGATATGTCGCTTACGTTTTCTCATTGACTATTTTGCTCCATCTAATCGCCCGACGTGTATATATTTCATTGTCTTTATTACACAATAAAGCTGTTAATAATTAATCGAATAATTAATAACATTAGGATGAGAAAAATATTTAACGATACGTGTGTGTGTAAGTGACTATAGGGTATATAGGTGATTATAAGTAGGAGATAATTTTCGTGGGGCTTAACCAGGTACACATACAAATGCATTAGCGATACTGTTCGTCGTATACTCAGGTATGGTGCTGCTTTAACTTTATTTCACATCCTTTACTGTTATCTTAGTACACCTGTTGCATAGAAGCTATAATTTGATAAATAAATGAAAATACATTCGATAAAAAAAATTTTATCGCATGTATTTTCATTTATTTATCAAATTATAGCTTCAATGCAACAGGGTTTAGATAAAAAATGCGCATTGCACATGAACTGCGGATCGTGTTTAAAATGAGAGACCAAGTGGAAAAGCTATTTCATTTTGGTACGGCAGCCTGGATTTTGAAAAGGCTCTTGAAATTTTTTAAACTACTAACTTGGTGGTTTCATTTGCTTACCATTTTCCTCAATCCAACAAGAACGCTGCATTATTATTAATATTGCTGTCTACTCAAAGCAATAATAAAAATGTTGTTGTCTGCTGAGATAGCTATGACAGCATCCTTAGTAATGTAACGTGTTGCATTTATTTTTAGTATTCTCAGCTGTTGCTGATAAAGTGTAGAGAAAAAGATAGGCTGGTGGATCGATAGTAATTATTAAAAGAATACGTTTAGTAAAGTGGGTTGATTTAACATCCAGAACAAATAACACCAGCATCATATGTGTGACTGTTGCAGTGAGAACTAACATTTCCCCATCCAGGGTGAGAGCAGTCCTGAAGAGAGGCTTCTGAGCCTGTACATGTCATGTCGTCCAGCCAGACTGGTCCTTCCCCATGTCCACTGCCCCAGTAATATGCAGCTTTGGTAAAACCAAGCTGGCTACATGCAACCTTGGTTTCCTCCCAACTCCAGAAATCCTGACTCACTGTTCCTCAGCTATCACTGTAAAATACTCCTAGTAGATCAAATATGCGAAGCAAATTTATTGTGTTAATTTTTCTTATAATAATCAAATTCAACAAGACTTTCTTGGAGCGTGCACTGGGTTGCTTCTTAGAATTGGGAGAACTTTTTTGTTTCCTTTTGAGTATTATATATATTGAGTCATATTTGAAAGGAATTTTAAAATTGTTTATAAAAACTACATACCATTAGAATGTAACACTCTAGCTCGTAATGCGGTGCTTCCCCATAATTGTAGTACTGTATAAATACAGATGCGGTTTCAGTAGCTAGAGAAAACAGCATTGCGTTACTGACGTCACAAAGTTATAATATACTCTCCATCTTGACCTACACGACTGAATCTCGACCTACTAAGACTCCTTCGTGTCTTACGAAATACATATCTTTATTTTCAGGAACTGTACATGGCCAAATGAGCGAAATAAATTCGTTTAGAAATGAATTCAACTCGTCATTTGATTTTCGCTAACTTTTTGAAATTCTCGATCTCTCCATTACTGATCATATTCTTGAAATAACCTTCTTGAAATGAAGATGAGAGTATGTGGACCGCGTGGCACTAATGAAATAGTAGAAGATAATATAGGTAAGTTGTAGTGCTTGGGAACGAGGTTATTCCGGGCGAAAGCCCTTGGAATTAAATTCGGAAAAATTAATTTCCGACCTCGCTGGGATTCGAACCCACGACCTTCGGAATTGTACTACCGATGCTCTACCAGCTGAGCTAGAGGTCAGACTGAGAGCAGGCCGGGGTGAAATAGATGTTAGGTCGCGGTAATTATGATGCAAAGATGAGAGTATGTTGAAATGACTGGTTTGTTTGAACCGGGTTTGGAATTCCCGACCTATTAGTTTCAGCTCGTCTGAATCAAATCAAAGTTAAAAATACCTTTTTGTCCTTGTTATATACACTTAAAGTGTTTTTAATATTCAAACCATTGAAGTGGAATAAGACTCGGTTAGTAAAACGATTCAAAACTCAGTGAAAAGTCTCATTTATAGTATCTAACGACAAATTCATGTATATATCTTATTAACTAAAAAGACTGAAAGCCGGTTTTTCTTTTAGGCTAATGGTTACTTTCGAAGCTAGCACAGGCTATTTTGCTACTAACCCACGCGTTCGAAGCAGGGAATACTGCCGACTGAGTAGCTGTATCAATGCTCATAAATATCTGAATTTCAAAAAATTGGGGTCTTTAGAGATTTTTAATCGCTCACTTATATTACTTCTAACCAAGGAGAGCCTCAGCTGCTAAGCCAGCGTATGACTCATGAATCTATGAACACGTCATTCAAATTACAAAAAATGGGGATCTTTAGAAATCTTCTTTTACCGATTAATTATATTACTTCTAACTAAGGAAAGCCAGGAGTCACAGCCTCAACTGCTGAGCCAGCGTATGAGCCATGAATCTATGAACACTTCACTCAAAGCCATATATGGGTGATCTTGCGCAACTTTGCCATTTTGGCGAGCAGGAAAAGAAAAAAAGAAAAACCAAAGGCATTTTACGACTGGGCTGCGTCAAGCAACCCACTAATTACGGATTTTTTAACGGTCATTATACTTATTCATGGCAGTCGTAGAAATAGCGTTATTGATTCCTTTACTATACATTATGTTCCATTATTAGACCACTTTAGTATTCAATGAATATATATCTTCTGTATACCTAATACCATCTACTATTCTGATTTTTCCCCCAAAGCAAAGCAAATTTATCTCTTGTCATACTGTAAAAAAAAAAACAATTTTCGTGAAATCTTAAAATTTATTTTATAATAAACTATATTGCGATAGCACCTTAAGTGCTCAGTATCGTGCCAGCAGTTCCAGCTTCGTGCCACATCAAAGATTTATTTTGACGAAAAATAGAAGATAAATTGAGATAAATGTCACTAAAATCTAGTTTTTCGACTTTTTTTTCAGGTTTTATTCTCAAACATAAGAAATAAATTCAAGTGGTAAAAATGGTGGGTGGTCAAATTTGAGGGCAATAACATGGGTTGACTACCAGCATCCAAAGTGTGATTTTTGCATCCAGAGCAAACTGTCAATCCATTTTGAGGACAGCTCTTAAATGAGGTTTCTGAGCCTGATGTCTTCCGGCAAGACTTTAAATTGCTCTTCATTTCCAAAGCCAATATATAGCCGATATAGCCGTCATAAAACAAAGTTCAGGACACGCAACGTTGCCATCGCTGCAATCCAAGTCGTAGCTTCCATTATTATAATCACATATTTTCCCACTTTCCAAGGTAGTACAATTGTACAATACCATTAACGCCCAGTAATCATATTTTTAAAAATGAAAATGTTGAATGTCCACTTTGTGTGTTACATTCCAACTTTATACCCAATTTCAATGCCATGTTTTTGTCGATGGTATATCAGTACCTTAATTGTTGTCTAATTTCTGTGGTGCATTTGAACAGTACCAGAAACTGGCGGCAAGAATTTTATATATCTGCGAGGATGGTTTTTTAGTTACCTGTATGTTTTCAGTTACCTGAACATTCAACCATAGCATCAACAGTGTGACTTCTGCAGCCAGGGTCAACAACTCCCCATGCAGGGTGAGGGCAATCCCAAAGTGTGGCTTCTGAGCCTGTACATTTTAAGCTGTCTAACCAGACTTGTCCTTCGCCTCGGCCATAGCCCCGGGAATTTATAGCTTTGGATAAACCAAGTTGTCAACAGGCAACCTTGGCATCATTAAATTCCCAGTTAACATGGCAAATTGTTCCCCATTGACCTTTTGCAGTAGACTTGTATTATTGGTTAAAAAGACTTGGGATATTCTACCAGATTCAAAACTAAAATCCAGGATAATTTTGAAACGAAGATGGCGGTTCTAATTTCGCGTTTTGCCAGTGCTTTTTGGACAGGAATTGCAAAATTTCTACAACTTCTTCTTACTTGTTGCTTGAAATTGTTTTTTAAATAAAATAAGTTCAAGAACAGAATACAATATGGAGAAAAAAGAGATAACTGTTTTGTTAAGGAAATTTCCTCCCGTTCAACTAAAAAGAAACGACTCGATTTGTAAGCGACTCGAAAAATAATAAAAAACAATACTTTAATTAATAATTATTATTCAATTACGTTTGGGGACTTCTATTTCTTATATGACTTTCTTTGTAACATTCAACTTATATCTTTGGGTGTCTTTGAGACATATTTAGACCTTGTTTGAGGCCTATAATGTTAACCTACACCATAACTCGCTCCCTACAACCAGCCAAAGGTAATAAAGCTGTTTTAATTAAAGTTCATCAATCTTCAACCACAACATCTTTTCTCATTCCCGCATCGAATACCAGTTCTCCCAAAACTATTCAAGCAACTTAGGTAATCATGTTCAACAACTTCAACTCCAAATTTCAACAATTCGAACTCTTCAACTCATGGATTATATGTTTAAGATATGGAATTTAATTTCAATGAATCTTTCACCCCATTTTAAAACTAATTGCTAAATACTACTGATTTTTCTTAATATATTGTCTCGTCCACTTGGCAATATCCTCCAACGATATTCGCCCCCTCCTTCTCCACAACACCAGGCACCTAAAGCTTTGGAAAATCCAAGTTGTCGACACGCTACATTGGCGTCATTTGAATCCCAGTAATCACCACAAACTGTTCCCCATTGACCATTGTGATAGACTTGTATAACACCTTCAACAAATCCTCTTGTATCCGACCGAAGTGCTCGTATATGTGGTTCGTAGCTTTATTTTTAGATTTCAAAATAATAGTTGAATAAATTAAAACAAGTGACAATTATCTAATATAATAATAGTTTAATCGCAAAATATTAACATGAATTATAATATGTTATTTTGGACTGGGCTATATTTTAAGATAAATGAATAATTTTACAATATGCTAAAATAGAATTTTGGCTTGTTATAACAACTACTATACTACTACTATTAATTACTAAAGACTGACTAAAATAACAATGGCAACTTTTAATGATTCGAAGGAAGTGACGTCATACGCGCAACCCTTCAAAAATCGCGGCTTTTCACAATGTGTAATTGCAACCAAATTTCGAATATTTTTGATTTAAAAACAAGCCTTAAACCAAGCCATGCCTTCTAACAGAGAATACTGTAAAGTGTGGATAAAACGGATGCCAGTTGCGCGTATGACGTCACACACATATTAAAATGCAAGGACAAAATCGAACCAATTATTGTTTATTGGTTAACATTATAACCTTTTTGAGCATATAGAAAATCGGGGATTTTTTTTTTGTGTCATTAATATTTTCGTAAGACCAGCACTTTAACAATAGTATATAGAAGCGTAGGAACCTGCATTTATGTTGCTTTCTCATATAGAAAGAAAAAATACGAAAGAGTACTTGTAAAGAAGAACACCAAACTCCAGCATCTGAAGTGTGACCGTTGCAGTTTGAACTTACAACTCCCCATCCAGGGTGAGAGCAGTCCTCAAGTGAGGCCTCTGATCCTGTACAACGCATGTCGTCTAGCCAGACTGGTCCTTCCCCATGTCCTCCCCAGTAATTTAAAGCTTTGGTAAAACCAAGTTGTCGGCAGGCAACCTTGGTGTCATCCATACCCCAGCTATTGTAACACACTGTACCCCATTGACCATTGCTCTAAACTTGTATAACACCATAAACATAACCCCTTGTTTTTTGGTTGAGTCTAATTTTACAAAGTGAAAAAAATGTTGTTTTGTTTGTACGACTTCAATAAATATGCTCCTTACAATGACTTGCAAAAGTAATAAAATTTATTGATTAATAAAAAAATTTAAATTTTCAACATACACATCAGTGTGTATTATAAATTCCTTAACGACCATTGGGACAGTCTTGAAGCGAGGTTTATGAACTTTAACTTTACTTTTTCAAACGTTATGAATTTTACTTATTGCTGCATAAGTTAAAACATACGTTTACACGAAAAGTTTTTCAGATCAAACTTGAAGGATGCTAAACTAGAAATAATTCTAATTGAAGAAGGAAGAGTATTCCAGAGTTCAGGTGCGTAAACGGAGAAGGATCGATGACCATAAGATTKTAAACGGTAGGTTTTTTTTCTTAAAAGAAGCAAACCAAATCATGAGCGAAGGGTTTTTGTCTGCTTGTAGTGAGTAATTAAGTCCGGTAATGTAGAGAGGAGCAAGATCATGTAGAAGTGAGCAGCTGAATCTTTAATTTGGTGCGCTCAGCGATAGATAACTAGTGTAGATCAATGAGCATAGGTGAAATGTGATCATAATTTCGTTCGGGATAAAGTTATGTGACGAGCAGCGGAATTCTGTACATTGGGGATTATTTTAGAAGTTGTATGGTATGTGAAGGCCAGACAAGAGAGGGTTACATTGATCAATCTTCGAAGTTATTAATTGATGGATAAGGGTTTCATTGGTCTTTACAGCAAGAAATGTTTTAATCCGAGAAATGTTAGACCATAACAAGCAACTTTGCTCACATCGTTAGCATGCGAGATCATGGACGAGACAACATCACAACACTGCACTGCAGTGTGCTTTCTGGAAGTATTACTGTGCTACATATTTCAGGTTTTCCCCCAATATTTTAGATTTTGTGAGTTGCATTTAAGCAAAACTGTTTTTTTACGTACCAAAGCAGTTATCGCACACTGCTAACCTCTCTCCACCGTTTTAGAAAAAATGTGCAGGAATCATGTATTACTAACAGCATTCCTTGAGTTGAGTACTGTCGTGGACACGCTCCTTGATAATATTTAGAATTTTCATAAATAAAAGATACAGAAAACACACACTTACATATACTTACAAATATGAAAGAAAATATTTCTACGATTGTGATTACAAGAGTACGTAAGGTACAGCCTTGGTAAAACCAAGTTGTCGGCAAGCTACATTGGTTTCCTCCATACCCCAGCCATCATTACATACTGTTCCCCATTGACCTTTGCGGTAGACTTGTACAACACCTACAACATAGCTCCTTGTATCCGGTTGAAGTTTTTTTTTTTCCGGTAACAAAACATCTGTTTTCTCAGTTTCCTCCTTTATTTGCTGCGCTAGGCTATAAGTTATATCCTACTAGTTACTAAAAGTGCCAGCTTTGAAAACAAGGAAAATGGTAGTTTAATTTGACCCTCTAGCTGCATTTGATTAAAACAATTAGTCATCTCGCCTTCATGGCCTATGATTCAATCTCATCTCCAAGAGTTGAATTGCTAAGGAGTTTCTCCATTCATTTCAAACTCTTTTTTTTTGGGGGGGGGGGGGGTCTGTTTTTGAATTAATCAAGTCTGAAAGTAATTGATCCTAAAAACTTTTCGTTTTAACTCAATGTATCCTATTTTAGGTACGCGCGTACATCATTTAAAACCAATACATTGGAGGTTGCCAAGAACCACAAATGGGCTGTGGGGAACAGTGTGCCATCCAAACTATTTTAGGGAGGAAGCAAACGTAACACGTTTTCAACTAGGTTTTAGAAAAGCTGTAAGCTATTTTGGCGCTAGGCATGAGAATCCAGGCACGTACAGGCTCAGAAGCCTTTCTTGAAAACTGTTGTCACACTGGATGGAGAGGTTTTGACTCTGCATGCAATACTCATGACTGCGACGTTGGTGTATTATCATAAGGCCTTGTCAGGAAGATGAAGAAAGTTTTTTTCGTACTTTTTGTCACAAGACACCAAACTACAGCATCTCCGGTGTGGAGATTACTTGCGTATCACCATCTGATAGCTGTTATCTGCAACTTTCTTAACTACTCATTGCGCAAGCAATGTTTGTCTCATCTTTGGAAACTCGCCAACATTACACTAATACCTGGGGAATCTCCCTTTAGTTAATGCCACTAACGACAATCTCTCTCACTAATACTATGCTATTTGATAAGGCTATGTGCAATCAAGAGATATCTACCTGCCTTAACCAATTTAGTAGGCCCAACTAGTTTTCCTGCAAGAGGGGTTGTAACAATACAACTGCGTATGTCTAAAAACGTTGGGACAATTATCAAGCACAATGCAAAACATGAAACAATTCAACCTTTCTCTCGTGGCTAGGGTTTTGAGATCAGTAAAAGACTGATCCCAATCGTAATATCACACGCTAATGAAACGAAAAAGCTTACATTTTGGGCTTCTAAACGAGCTAATGCCAAACAGTCTGTCGGTTAACCGGCAAAACCCTGATACAACAATATTTACAGTATTTCAATATTCAATAACGTAACCCTTTGTATCGCGCACTATTTTATATCACATAAAAAGACTAATAATTTGTATGGACGTTGAATTGGATAAAAACATTTAAGACCGCCGCCTCGAAATCATAACCCTACATCACATTGGCGAAATGTCGATCTTTGATTACCCGCCAAAACAACGGAAATGCGGTAAAAATAAGATTCTAAATTAACATTCTGACATGGCGTAATCTACATAATAAATATATAATGATTTGAATTATTTTAAAAACGCCTAATTATATAAGATAAGGACCATATTAAGGACTTAATTATATTCATGTTAAGATACAAGATGGATGAAACCATAAGAAAAAGAATGAAAATACATAGTAACAATATCCTGAAAATTGAACAATAGCATCAATAGTGTGGGTTTTGCAGCCAGAGCTGACAACTCCCCATCCAGGGTGAGAACAGTCCCCTAGTGAAGCCTCTGAGCCTGTACATGCCATGTTGTCCAGCCAGATTGGTCCCTCTCCTCGTCCATAGACCCAGGAACCTACAGCTTTGGTAAAACCAAGTTGTCGGCAAGCTACATTGGCGTCATTCGAACCCCAGTAATCACTACACACTGTTCCCCATTGACCTTTGTAGTAGACTTGTATAGCACCGAAAACATAACCCCTTGTATCGGTGGAATCACAACTTTTAATTTCAGAATATCAACAGCACAAACTAGCTTTTAAAACATCAACCTAAGGTACACTTCAAAATAGAAAGGTAGAGTTGATGAATTTCTGTTTGAAATAAGTTATCTTCTGAAGAAATGAAATGCAGTTTAGGTCCTGAATAATAAACAGCAGTGTTTATGCATCAGCAATATTTGTAATGTCAATCCATAATCGTTATAATATTATCATTATTATGACGATGATATAAGTTTAAGAAATTATGATCATAATGACGACGTTTCATTAAATGTCTTCGCAGTCATACGACTGAATTACAAAGATGGGCCAGCATTAGAATGTTTTAACAAGTCAAATTTATTTAGTACCTATATTTACAAATATATATATGTCTATATATATTTAAAAAAACTCATTAATAATTCATGAAGGAAACACAATAGAAATCATGAACATGAAGGAGGTTTTATATCTGATATAGATTCGTCTTCATTTGCATAAACTTTAACTTGGATTTTCTCTATCAAACTTGGTTCATTTCGTAAAGAATTCGGTACATTATGAGAACATACATCAGGAGTTTTTTAAGCCGTTTAATAAACTCGCAGATCGTGTTTTATCGGGTCTAAAACCAACTGATTTATAATCTGTACGATCTAATAGACAAGAAAAAAATATTTTGACAGTCATTGCATGAAACAAACAATAAATAAAGCGACTTTTCTGTTTTGCATATCATTAAATTTACTGAATGAATTACTGATATATGTATAAATGTATACTACAACGTTTCTGCAATCGAGTGTGTATATATATATATATATACTTGAATATAGGTGGTAGATCAACGATGAACTTCCAGTAGAAGGATTCCAAAAAATTCAACAGTCTGTTCTCTTCACAGAAATATGCTAGTATATAAAAGTAAAAAGAGAAAACAAGCAACTTCTAACTATTCCAAAAATATGTATTTAACGTTTCGGCAATTCGGTCTTCTTCTTCTTCTTCTTCAAAAAAAAAAAATATATATATATATACAGGATAAAAAATAAAAAAGTGAAAAATGAATAGCAAAGCAACTAGTATATAAAGGGTATAAGAACAAAAGGATGATGTAAACAGTAAATTCAGACGAAAAGCATGGACCACGGGCTACATCAGTCTTTTGTAAGATAATGAAATATAAAGAAACAAAAGTGAAAGGTGCTACCACCATGGAGAATGGAACAACAAGGAAGCTTGCAGCAATCTATTGTAATATAGAAAAAACACTAGAATATATATGTATAGAAGTAATTAAAACCTGATTTTGAGGTACATGTCAGCTGTAATAGCTAATAGCTAATCGAGAAAGCTGGCATATTCCAAGGTATAGTTTGCAAATTAAGTCAAGTCATTAATAGTTTATTGCTGCCAATAGCCGAAACATTCTCACAGAGCGACTTCAGGCTTTTTAATCATCTATATAAACGAAAAAAATGAGGGTGTGCTAAAGGTAAAGAGCACTGTACAGAAGCATCTTCAGTGTGACCGTTACAATTTGAGCTCACAACTCCCCATCCATTGTGAGGGCAGTCCTGAAGTGAAGCTTCTGAGCCTGTACATGCCATGTAGTCTAGCCAGACTGTTCCCTCTCCTCGTCCCCAGCCCCAGTAACTTGCAGCTTTGGTAAAACCAAGTTGTCGACATGTAACATTGGCGTGATTCCAACCCCAGATATCATTACAAACTGTTCCCCATTGCCCTTTGTAGTAGACTTTAAAAAATCAAAAACACGATCCCGGTCAGAGTGGTATTTATATATTTTTTGAAATATGGTTCGTTTACACCACTAGTTATTGATACGTTTTGCTTTTTTTTTTTTTACGTTAATGTATACTACTTACCATTTCAGATGCAATTCAGCATACTGATGTATGCGGACGATACTATATTGTGTTGCTACGATTTACTGCGGTTTTCCATATTCTACGAGCTCAGACACTTCAACGGCTCGTTGTAAAATCGGGTTTTTACTGCCGCCTTCAACAACATAAAAGGTAACGACTGGTTATTTTTGATTGACGGAAGCGAAAAACCAAATTTCAGCGTGCAGCTCGCAATTACCAAGTTCGCAGAATATGGAAAACCGCAGTAACTGCGTCTATAATCAAAGGGAAGCTTAATGCTAAGCTTGAACTAGTCGAATCGTGGCTTGGCTAATTTAGCCTGTTTTTAAACGTCACTAAAACTGAGTCATTCGAACCTCGCGCTAAGGTTTTTTGATTTTAATATGTTATTCATTGGCCTCTAAATTAAGAGTGTTTCATAATCGCTTTTGACGAAATGGAATTGCCATATCTAACAATTATTATTTAGAGCTGCAATGCTTGCATTTCTCAAATATGTCCTGTAGCTAATGGGTTTGAAAACTGAACGTCTAAAGTGAGTACAATATATTGGGTGTGCTCAAGGAAATAAAGAACAAAACAAAATACTCACCAAATTGACGACACGGCAGCTTCTACAGAATCCCCATATTAAGCATTGATACACATAACTAACCAGCATTATGGTGAATATTACAATGACATTGAGGTATACAAATGAACATGGACACTGGATACACGGAATTTCGACTTTTTGAGGTTGGCCTCAACACGGATCCATCCCCTCGTCCATCGTGCCCGTAATTTGTAGCTTTTATAAAACCAAGTCGTCGACAGGCACTATGGACATCATTCCACTCAAAGCTATTTCTAGACACCATTCCCCATTGACCATTGTGGTAGACTTGCAAAATACCAAAAACATAATCCCTTGCAATCACTAGTATGTTACTAATTGCTGATTTTGCAACTTTAACCAAGTATAGTAATATAGTATTTTTAAGGCTTTTGCGTTCAGGCATGATTAATTAAATGCAATATTGCGGATAAAACGCGTAAATGTTTTTAAAAACATGACTTTTCGACTATAACTACGAAGGCTGTCTTTAGTTATTGTTGTGGAACTGACGACAGAAAACGCCTTTTACAACTCAACAACTTTACTTGAGACGTTGACTTCATTACAAACATGTCAGCACGAAATTCGATTCCTWARGGGGTTACAATTTATTCCCCACCCGGGGAGGGTACTAATATCCTAGTCTCTTGGGGCTTCGTACCACTCGTCCTCCTTTCGTAACGTATTGGGCTGTAACAGTTATAGCCGAAACGTTAATGTTTTTAAACAATCTCAGCGTTTTATCCGTAATCCTTCATTTAATTGATATAGTAATATAATATATAAGTTTGATATTATCCCATTGTTTTTTCAACCACTTCTTTCAACAAGTCAGTGTATATCATTCAGGCCTGGAGGCTTAAACCACTTATAAAACATGTGTTGTGTTAAGTGTGTTGACTAATAAATTCAATTCGTGCAAACCAGATGCGGCAAAATTAAAGATTGATGGCAATTCTATATTAATGCATCCCAATTATCAAACGCCCCTAATGAATATTTGTCAACAATTGCTTCGAAAGTTGCCATTGAGATCCCATCTACAAGTGGTAACGCAAGTTACACTGATTATTATTACCGACCACAAAGAGTAAAGTCTTTTCTTTTTTCAATAAATATGTCAAAAGCAATCGGGCTTGATATGATATCTGCTAGGCTTGTTCAAGAATATGCTGATATTATTTCTTCCTCTATAAGTGAAATATTTAACAAATTTTTAGCACTAGGCATTTTCCCTGACGAATGGAAGTGTTCCACTCCTCTCTTAAAACAAGGTGAAAGAATTAACGCAGGTAATGCCCAATATCGGTGATTTGTATATTCTATAATCGCTAACGTATTCGAGGGAATAGTTTACGACCACCTGTATTTATTTTTATCTATGAATGATTTTATCACTAAGCATCAATCAGGCTTCTGTTCTCTACATTCGATCATTACAGCTCTATTAGAAGCAACCGATAACTGGTCCTATAATATCGACCGTGGCTACATCAATGCCCTAGTATTTTTAGATCTCAAAAAAGCTTTCGACACAGTTTACCACGAAATTCTATTAGCTAACCTTAATGCCAGTGGAATACAGGGGAAAGCCAACAGTTCAAAAATGTTCTGTCAGTGGTTCACTGTCTGAAGCATGTACTGTTGATTGCGGTGTGCCTCCGGGAACAATTTTAGGGCCGCTGTTATTCCTACTATACATAATCTGTCTGGTGGGTGCGCGTGCGGGGGTGGGGCTCAGGGTGGCGGAGAGCTTGTCTCTCCTTTATTTAGTACATATTCATATACTTATACTTCATTTATAGAGCATTTTTCGCTAATTACGCTGCTTAGGGTCTTTCTTTATAATGCATTTTTGTCATGTTTTGTTGTTTTTCTTGGGAGTTTTCACATAGGGATAACCTCATAACTTCCTTTCAAGTCGCCTATTATTGTGCTTTGTTGTCTTATTTGTATCGCTTTTTGCTAGCCTCTGCTCTTACTTGTATTTTACTATTTGTCAATAATTTATTTGCGATTTGAATAAACTATGTATGTATGTATGTATACATTAATGATTTACCTAATCTCCTTTGTGATTTAGAATTTATGTAGATGATACTCACTTAACATATGCTGACAGTATCATAAACTCCATTCAAGCTTCTCTCAGTATGGATTTGGGTATCATCTTACTTTGTTTACTATACATAATATTTTCTTTTCCATATCGTATATATAATTGAGTTCAGTATTTTGTAATTTTATGCTGATAAATTTTAAGAGGACATTTTTTTCAATAATCAGCAATAAGGGCAAAGAGTGCCAAAAACTAGACTTTCGTATGAGTTTTGATCCCAATTTTCGTTTTGGGTTAACACTCAAAATCTTTTTTAAACAGTGATTTAGCAACTGATGTACTATGATAAAGTGCCTGTTTGAAGCGGTATTTTCAATTGTACAAAGATGTTTTGTTGCATTTGTGTTCGAATGTTGCTTTGTCAGGCTTTTTTTAATAGAAAATATATGGGAAATAAGCAAATGAAGGCCTGAACCTCATTTTCGAATAACATTTTTTGCTTTAGGTTAACACTTTGATTCCACTTTCATCGGTCATCTCCACTTCCAAACAGGTTAAACTCTCTGAATAACAAGATTTTAGCCTTATACAACAACCTTTCTTCAAGGAATACGAAAAGAATTCTCTCTTAACGTGTATAAATAAAGTCATATTGAATTTATATTGTCTGTCCATATGCAATTATTCAATTTCAACATGCAATAATTCAATCTCAACATGCAATTATTCAATTTCAACATGCAATTATTTAATTCAAAATAAATTTGATAGGGAATCTGATTCATATTTAACATTTTCTGCATGTCCATCGTGCCAATACAATACAGTTTTACTAAAACCAAGCTGCTTGCATGCAACCGTGGCGTCATTCCAACCGCAGTTATCTTCACACTCTGTACCCCACTTCCTAGCGTGGTACACTAGAACAACGCCAGAAACAGCAAGTAATCAGATATTGCTCCCATGATTTTCTTTGATAATTGTAAAGGCCCTGTTACATGTTTAAACTTTTAGCTGCAATTCGTGTGCAACGGCGTTGCAAAAAGAGTTTCACAGGATGTCATACAGTGCAACATTTTCGTGAAACCACTATCATCCTTTAGAAGAGTTCAAAAGGGGTTGTTGCATTGCTCAATTTCGTCCTGAAACTTTTAGTTTTGCGAAACAGTGGTGTACCAGTAAAAATCAGTTCTACTTTTCGTGAAACTTTGTTGCATACCTTTTGTTGGCGTGTGGAGTGGTTTTAAAAATAGGAATTAAAACTCTTAATTAAAATAACCATTGAAAAAGACTCATCGATAAATGCTTCTGCCACCGAGAACACCAAACAACAGCATCTCTAGTGTGGCTGTTGCAGTTGGAGCTGACAACTCCCCATCCAGCGTTAGCACAGTCATGAAGTGAGGCCTCTGAGCCTGTACATCGCATGTCGTCAAGCCATACTGGTCCTTCCCCTCGTCCATTGTTCCAGCCTACAGCTTTGGTAAAACCAAGTTGTCGACAAGCAACATTGGCTTCATTCCGATCCCAGTTATTGTAACACACTGTTCCCCATTGACCATTGTGGTAGACTTGTATAACAACATAAATAAACCTTTATACATTTATATTATGTGTATTGCTTATATATGTATGCGTATGTATATATATTCTTTATATATATATATATCAACTGTGTTCTGTTTAATATAAGACATCTCAAAAGCTAAAGCTATAAAAATTACATTACTAAAAATGTAGGAAATTGGTATTCAGCATCAGGCATGCTGTAAGGATATCCTACGTTCTACATTTTAGATTTACAACATACAACACCCAGCTGACACTCCTTGTAAATCCATGTAAGGCAATAGGAATAAGGGGATACATATGTATGTATATATATATATATATAAGTTGTCAAAGTTTTAGGGATTCGGTAGATAAAGATCACGGAAGTTGTTTAATTCGTTTCGGCTGTAGTATAGTTGGTTTTGTTGAGTACTTTCAAAGTTAAAAGGCTCATTTAATACAACTTTTTTTCGAAAATCTTAGTAGCCATCCACATCGTTCTCCACTTTAAGTAAAAGCATTGCATATTAGTATATAATTTAAATTATAATTGTATAATGGCACCTATTAATAACAGTTACATCCATTAACTGAAGTGCCTACCCTGGGGCTACCTAGCCTTTGATAATAGTTACATCCCGTAACTGACAAGGGCGGATCCAGCCAAAATTTTAGGGGGGGGGGGGGGCTAATTGAGTTTAGGGGGTCTAATTGAGTTTCTTCCGTCAAAACAACGGAAAACAATATAAAAAAGCATGGTTTTTTTTCTGCTGAAGGGGGGGATTCAGTCCACCTTTGCCCCCCTCCCTGGATCCGCCCTGGACTGAAGGGGCTACCATGTTTAAATGAAGGTGTTATCTATTTATCTTTCCACAGTAAAATACGTACAAGACCATAAAAATTCAAGTAGTATAAAATTTCTGATTTCAATATTTCCCTAAGACATATAGTTTTATGAGGTAACTACATAGTAATATTGTAAATACAAAAGTACACGAAAGGAATACAAACAGAAATGACTGAAAATAACTATGTAAAAAAATTCATTGATAAATGTTTCGTCACCGAGAACACCTAACAGCAGCATCCCTAGTGTGGCCGTTGCAGTTGGAGCTGACAACTCCCCATCCAGCGTGAGGACAGTCATGAAGTGAGGCTTCTGAGCCTGTACAGGCTATACCATCTAGCCAGACTGGTCTCCCCGTCCAAGGGTTCCATATCATTCAACTTTGGTATAACCAAGTTGTCGACACGCAACTTTGGCATCAGTAAAATCCCAGGAATCACTACACACTGTTCCCCATTGATCTTTATAGTAGACTTGTACAACACCAATAACATTTCCCTATACTTCTTTTTATAATATGCATCAGTACGTAACAACCAAACAATGTTTTTTTCATGCTCTTTTTAATACCGCAGGTTTCATCGAAACTTGACATTTTTCTGCTAATCAACCCAGACTATTATATTATGGGTACTTGAAAATTGCGTGGCTAGACTTCAACGACACAAAAAACGCACACTTGTAAGGCTTATTGGGATATCTTAAAAGAGTATACATCGAAGTAGTATTCCAAGGCATATTTTACACGTACAGTATCGCGATTAATAAGTAGTAATAATAATTACGTCCTGTTTACTTTGCTAAAACACAAATCGGAACTACATTGAGAAAGTAAATCAATTAAAAACATAAAGAAAACAAAGGAATCAAACAATCACTAATRTATAAGGTATATCACAAAAATATCGAACGTTCCTATGCAACCTTGGCATCATCCCAACCCCAG